CCAGGGGGTCCAGGGCGCCCTGGGAGTCTCAGGGTGTCCTGGGGGGATGTTTGGGGTGGCTCTCGGGGGTCTCAGGGCGGTTCCTGGGGGTCTCAGGGTGTCCTGGGGAGGGTCCCGGGTGGCTCCCGGGGGTCTCACGGTGTCCCCAGGCTCTCGGTGTGTCCTGGGGGGTCTCAGGGTGTCCTGGGGGGGGGTCCAGGAGGCCCTGGGGAGGTGTTTGGGGTGACTCCCGGGGGTCTTGGGGTGTCCCGGGGGTCTCGCTGTGCCCCTGGGGGGGTTCTACTGTGCCCCCCGGGGGTCTCACACTGTCCTGGGGGGGTTTGGGATGCCCCCCGGGGGTCTCATGGTGTCCCGGGGGTCTCAGGATGCCCCGGGGTGTCCTGGGGGGTGTCTGGGATGCCCCCCGGGGGTCTCACGGTGTCCTGGGGGTCTCAGGATGCCCCGGGGTGTCCTGGGGGGGGTCCCGGGGGTCTCACGGTGTCTGGGGGTGTCTGGGATGCCCCCCGGGGGTCTCACGCTGTCGCGGGGCTCTCGCTGCGCTCCGGGAGGAAGGTTTGGGATGTCCTGGGGTGTCCCGGGTGGGCTCCGCCGTGCCCCCCCGGTACTCTCACGGTGTCGCGGGGCTCTCAAGGTACCCCGGGGGGTCTCCGCCGTGCCCCCCGGGGGTCTCGAGGTCTCGCAGCCCCCGCAGGGCGAGGGCGCAGTCCCGCACCAGGCGGCAGAGGCGGGCGCTGCCCTCCACGCAGCCGCTGCGGGGCAGCTCCCGGGCGGCCCAGAGCAGCTTCTGCAGCACCGCCGCCCTCGCCGCCGCCACCGCGGCACCGGCACCGCCGTCGCACCCGGGATCCGTGCCGGGATCGCTACCGGGGGGCTCCGGGGGGGCGGAGGGAGCGCCCCGAAAAGCCGCGGCCGCGCCCTCGCAGTGCTCGGGGCGGGGAGGGGCGGAGAGCAGCTTCTGCAGCACCGCCGCCCTCGCCGCCGCCACCGCGGCACCGGCACCGCCGTCGCACCCGGGATCCGTGCCGGGATCGCTACCGGGGGGCTCCGGGGGGGCGGAGGGAGCGCCCCGAAAAGCCGCGGCCGCGCCCTCGCAGTGCTCGGGGCGGGGAGGGGCGG